TTTTTTTATTGTTTACAGAACTTTGATATAGTTTCTTTTTATTAGGTTACGATTAGATTTATTTTTACTACATAAAGTACCTATAAGCTATTTTAATTTTTTATAATATTTTCGCTATCGACTATCGCTTCGCGTAACAGTACGTACCGATTACCCACAACGAGCCTTCAAGCATTCACCCCTCGAAGCAGGTCAGTGTGCCATAAACGGGTCCTGTGACGTTTTAATAGAGTTGTGTTATTTTAAATAGAGCAATAAGTCATTTTAATCTTTCTTATCTTTTGTGTTCATACTATCATTTTTTTCCATGAGTGAAACATGATAACATGATGGGCCGTATTTCTTTAGGACAGTGTTGCTTCCGGAGTTTTATTTAGTATTAATTTAGCTTATGGTAACTTTACCTGATATAATTCCTGTTAATTTGCATATAAGAAGTAGCACTAAACAAAAAAAGGCAGGATAACTCTAACTCTATTCTACTGCCACTATTTCCTGCTCTACCTTTTTTATTTATTTAAAATTTCTTATAATAAAGTATAATATAATCGTAAAATAATACAAAGTTTCGCGTTAATCATATTAGTGATATAGGTAAATAGATTTCTAATTACTGCATATAATATTTCTTTTTAATGGATAATAATGGAATAGTGTTCCCATCTATGTTAACGGTATACAGTGGCTGGGTACCAGTAGAGAATCATCCTCTAAAATGAGTATGAAGGCAGGTCAGTTAGCCCACTGTGACAAATTCACAAGAAATTTATCAAGATGGTTTTCGGGAAAGACCGCTTGCGTGGTCAACATGACATAGTAATGCGATCATGCCATACCTGGCTAGGTCTGATTACAGATCGCGCACTCGTTTCGATCGCCCAGTTGACAATTATGCCAAGCTCGTGCACAGAATAACCAACACTGAGCTCAACGAGCCGACTAATTGATATCTTTACTATTTTTTATTTACTATGCATTCACTCGACTTTAAGAACGTGTTTTATTTGTACAACTATTCAATATTCTTAACTGGTTAATTATATGAATTTATGTCAGTGTTTCCTAACTAGGGATAGAGCCGTTACTTTGTTTGGGCGGTAATTTGATAATTCTTATAATATATATTTTTTAATGTATGATAATGGAAAAATGCAGTCGCCTGCGTTAATGGTTTTTACTGGCGGGGCACTAGTGGAGGATGGTAAGATGGGGATGAAACTTATCACGTCCTTATCTTATCATACTCCCTATGGGCTAATTGACCTTGGGTCAGCTAGCCCATAGTGACCTATTCCCGAGGAATCTATTACGATGGTTTCCAGAGGGAACCTCGTGAAGGTCACCCCGAGATGGTACATTGCTAGTAATGGAGTCATCAGTCCACATTACTAGCAGTCCTCTTCCCCCATTCTTGTAATATTAAATATTCTAAGTTATATATTGATTTTTTGGAATATATTTAGTTTATTTTTAGGTTAGACTTTGTAAAAAGTCGTCGGCTGAAATAGGTCAGAATAAAGTACCCAGTCTCACTTATTGCCGCTTGCATGTATTCAAGCACCTTGCTTTATGACCTGTGTTTCGGTTGTACGATGAGAAAACGTAGTGAAATAACAGCGTAAGAGTCATAACATCTTAGTATTTCAAAATAATAACACAAGCGATATTTGTAGTGCTGTTCATGTATACAAGTGACGGTTACCACATACAGTCACGTGGTCTGTCATCTATTTTGCCAGTCCAATTAGGTACACAAAAATGAATAAATACGTACTTAAAGGTGACAGTTTATTTATTAGTAAGACAAGTTATATAATCATGAACGTGACTGTACATTTCTAACTAAAAGTTATTAAAAGTTATTGAATTGAAAACCAATATTGAAGACAGCAAATAACTAATCGATTATGTACATATTGCACTGTGAAATCGCATGACCGCAGTATCTTAAAATCAACCACGTACATCAAACAATGCAATCTCGATCTTACAATATGCGGTAATAGATGATAATAGGCTTGCCGATGAAACACTTACTATATCATAATAAATCAACCGGAAAAGCACAATCGACCCACTTTTACTTAAAATAATTGGTTTAAAACATAAAGTGACAGTGCAAAAAATAATAAGTTTTCTTTAAGTTCACCCTGAAGAAGACTTCCGGATGTAGTCGAAATAATTGTCGCGAAAAACAAAGTATGTATGTAGTAAGTGAATTAAATTCCCGTACAAGGTTATAAAAACTTTAATTTAGGAACATTAATATCCGTTGCATCCACCTACTTTTAATTCCAATCGGGTAAATGAAAAACCCAATATTGCTACTCTGGTCATATGATAAGTCATATCACAGGAGTGTCCTTCTTATAGATTAATACAATCAAAGATTTGTTTTGTAGAAAAAAGAATGCTGTCAGAAATTTTAATAAAATTATCTGAATATCCTGTGAAGTTTATGTAATTTTTTTGGCATACTAAAGATAAGTATAAGATATATACTTTCATATATATAGTAGTTTTTATATACCATATTTATATCATAGTTTTTATTTTATGTTATATTACTTATTAAGTTGGTGATGCCTGGTTAATATGTATAAAATGCAAAATTTTATTACAAAAATATTTTCTGAAAATCTATTTCAAACAATTTTGAAACATTTCTAATAGATTTTACTTATTGTAAACACGTAGTTATCTGAGTTATTCATTAGTAATAATGCCTATAATTCAATAGGTTAAAATAACTGGTGAACACACAAACACTCGTTGTATACGAGTGCTACTTAAAACCACATGTGAAATTTGTTTCTACATAAGCTGCAATGCTATTAGATTCGCACAAAGTCTTATTATGAGGCATTCATTGAAAATTGCATGGTCGGTGAAAATCTGGTTTTCTCGGCTTTCCAATTATTGAAAAGAGTAAGAGCGTGCTATGAAACTATTCACCTTGGACGTTCCAATAATCACCTTATAAACCACATATTCACTATACATAAACTTTTCATATACTTGTTTATGATTGCTGTGTTACAATTATATCGATATATAGTATAATAATAACGTAGCTGACCATACTATTCATCACAAATCTGAAATTGTCTCGATCTATCTGTCCCTTTCGCGAATGGTTCTTAATGAAAGTTTTGCCCGAAAATTATCGTGCATATCATAAATACAAAACAGTGTATTAAAGTATAATACCTCTGAATTCGTCTAACAAACTTTTTCTTTTTCGACTGTAATTAGAGTCATAATTGTACTTACAAACCATTTGGAAGTCATAAAAATAGTTTAAGATTTAAATGATTTCTTATACAGGATTAGGTTTCAAGTTACCAAATCTATATACATACTGTCAATTACCCTTTTGCTGCGTCGTAGTTGGGTAAAAACGTGGTGAGCATCAAATGAATGGAAGGAACCGACGGCGATCGTTAGACACGGACCACGAACGCCAATGTCGAATCCAATGCCACACATTGTTAACTTCGGAAGGAAACAAAACTATGCCTTTGTTACCTATGAAATAAAAGAAGCCACCCACGTATACTATGTTACTGATGATGTTGCTTTGGTGTTTTTCAACATATTATACTAAATTATCATCTTCAATGTTATAAAAATAGAAATAGAAATCATTTTTATTAAAATAAAGTTAATAAAAGCAATTTTGAATAAAAATATATTGTTATTAATTATTCCACCACTCGTTCGGATCGCAGTGTCATCAAAAGATGAACGAGATTGAAATTTAAGTTTGCTCTTTTAAATAAATGGTACTCAGCAATACATATTTAGAATTTCCTGTAAATACATGTAGGTCTGTTTGTGGACTACATTTATCCCGATCATAACTTTATTGATTTTATAAAACCATTCATGGCTGACTGACTCTACTGAAAATCAGCTTTTTGACAGAATAGCACACAAATCTGGGTGGCAACCATTTTTGGTTGTATTATTTGATTAATTATGAAATTACATTTCTGTTAATACATCCCGGTACTCATATTAAAGTTCAACTTAAATAGAATTAAAAAAGGAAATAGTGTCATATATGAATTCTCACAAACTTCTATTCTGACGAATGAGATGTTATTACTATTGAATAGTTAACAGATGAGGAGCTTAAAGATGAACAAGTGATAATAGACACGAATGGCAATAATAGTTGAGCTTTCACCGTTTCTATTGTTTCGTTTCATAACATAGTTACGTATAACTTAATCTACCGTAGAAAGTCTTATTGTATCAATATCATTGATAGGATCATAAAGTTTGGTAGCTATGATACGCTTGTCATAACTAATAGGCCTGTAAATTGATGTTTCCACGTGATGTGGAAAAGATTATTTCATATCATTCCATGTAATTGATATTGAACATATTATTTATAAGGTAAATTTGCAGACGAACGACATGGATAATATGATTTTTGGAATCTAATGAGGCTATTATATTTTTTAATCAAATTGTATAAGAATAGTAGTGAATTTGTTTTATATAAAAAAAACACTAAATTTGTACAAAATTATAGCCATCTCTTGGATTTGATAGCTTTGTTAATGATACGGTCAACATGATTTAGAATCTGGATTTCTACTAACATTGGATGTCGAGTTGGAGTGAGATTAAATGTTCCCGCCACAAACAAACTTTGCTTTCTACTACATGCTGAGTTTTATTTCAGCATTGTTTAATAATGTTAATAATAAGCTGGCGCATCATAAACGCTAATTCCTTGGGTATACAGTGCATTTTCAAAATAAAATCTAATTAAATAAGTACTCCATAACATCAACCAAATCATGTAGTGGATATATTTTACTCTTAGCCAATAATGACTTCAGAATTGTATATAGTAAAATTGCATTATAACAGTCAAACACAAAACGGAAAGATTTTTTAAACCACCGACTCAAATATACGTTTGTGTCTGGGTGTTTTCTCTACATATGTATTAATAACATTTTTTTCTCTTCTTGTTTCAGCTTAGGCCCATTTGAGGCCTTAGCCGGGGGAGAGATGGTGTCACGACGGCGAATTCTGTCGCGTTCACGAGACGACCTCACACAGGCTCTCACAAACCAAATGGAGGAGGAGGAAGACGTCTGGTATCAGAAGGATAAGCTATATAAGGTATGTCGACAACATTGTTGATAACAAGTCACCTGAGATCTGAGATATAATCCTTAACACAGAATATATATGTGAGTAGCACAAGATTGAATGGTTTGAAATGCTGTATTTATACTATAATATTTATTGTATTTTTTCATTTCATATAATACAGCTATCATTTGTAATGAACGTAATATATCTAATTTAAATTTTATTAGTTTCTTTTCGTCTATACTAAAACGTTGACGAATAGTAATATTATCAATAGTATCAATCACTACAGTTGCTATTCTTACATCATACATACCTCATTGACATTTGACCCTGCTTTTCATTACACTAATTATAATTATAAGGTCGTGATTCCAATTATTTACTACCACGTCATTTTAAATCTTATTTTTATAAATTTATTTCGATATGTCAGTTATGCCATCACATTTCTATCAGTTTCGGAATGTCATAACCAAATAAGAAGTCAGTCCTAATTAGAAGGTTTACAATGATTATCGACTGACACATTACTTCCTACAAGTCACGTTTTATTAACGCGAGTTTACAGTAAACTTAAGTTATGAATCCAAACATTGAACTGCTATAGAGCAAGCAAGTTACGACTATATATCAGAGCTTTCTACACATCAATCACGAGCTCGCTGAGCCGTTAAAATGCTGTCTTGAATCACTTCACATCAATACTATGTTATTATAATACACAATAGCCAATAATACATCGAGTAAATGTTCGACTTATTAGAGATAGTACATCCAATATTAAAAACTAAACATTACTAATAGTGAAACAGTATTTTAAGCTATTAGGAAATCCATGAATCGATACTTATTCGACACAATACAATGAAAATATCTTCGTTTCCAATCATACCTATAGTGAAAATTTAAACGAACACAAATTTATAATTTTATATCAAGATTTAAGAACCACTATTATATTATAAAACATTAGAAATTTTATAAATCTTATTAATAATAATATGCAGTTATTAAAGAACAACATTTGAGAAAAACAGACAATTATTTAACATCAAAGTAATTAAAAATAATATTGCGACAATAAATATATTGAAGTTATGTAAAGACTAGAAATAGTCAACAGGTTATTTATTTAAAGAAACACATTTGGCTAATTTCGTATTAAATGGAATTTATAGTTCTTCATTAACTTAATTTATATCTTTAGCACAGTATCCCATTGTTGTTCCGCGTATTACGTTTCTTTTCCTTTGTCTATGGTTACGTTTTTGTAACCATTTCCGACTGCTTACAGTTAATAAGGACGTGAGAATTCACTGTGTCATATGTACAAAGCATCAACAGTTACTGTGTTACATTTTGTCTTAACATCTTTATTGATAGCATCGCTAGTTTGATTTCCATCGGCACTTTTACTCCATTGACATGAAAATTATACAATAGATGCATTATCATTGAATGTAACATTAATGTGCTAATGATTAGCATTACTACGGCTGACACGGCTCTTTTCATTCGTTTTCACCTTCACTTATATTTAATCGACTAGTACCTATATCTCCCATTGATAGTGAAAGTTTGGTTGCTAAAAGATGTCCTAAATATTAAATAGAAGAGTGTTCTAAATATATTCATATTTGTCTATTGAAATCAGTACCTTTATTCTTTTGTTAGTTGCAATAAACTAGAGAAAGGCACCATGTCTTACCTTACAATGTCTATTCATTACAGATATTTGTTTGAAACAATAATACGAATAGTTCAGTGTTAAGTAGCATAATTCATACTTCTGTAAAAGATCACTAATTAATCCTACTTTTAACAATACTACATTCTTGGCTATGAAGAACCAACAATGTAATTTCAAGTAGGATTTGAAGTTCAAGTAGGACAAAAAGTCACAAGCTCAGCAAGGATATTAAAACGTAACCACTATTAAGGATAAAGTTTCTCTAACATTGGCGTAATTAACTTAAACCAAAGAAAGTAATACACACTTCTTATGGTCTAACATCAATAAATAGGATCACACTCAATGTTATATTTTTTATAAATATTTTTTAAAAAAAACTTATCCATCATATTTATCTTCTCACGTTAAGAAAGCTAAAAAAGAACATACGGCATAACGCTTTAGTCACAGAGCCTTAAACAAAGATGACCTAAACATACTAAATCTAATTTTATGTATCGTCGTTCTGAGCTTAGAATTCTAACGTTTTCACGTAGGACTCTCGTATATTCGTCAGATACCTATATCTGATTCTCTAAATATTTTTTTACGTATATAGACAAAAAATAACTGCACAAAAATCCAGTTTCATGTAGATTGACTATTTCAGATAGTAGGTGAGATGGTCTTGTGTGCAACTGTCCGTTATTTGGTAATGAACTTGTTGGTTAGGTAGGAAACATTAAGATTTTAACAATAAAGAAATTTACGATTATATAACTGTAGTGAAAATTATTATAAATAACCGCCTGTGGACGGCTCAGATAATATTGTAGAATATAATATTTTTTCTGATCATTTTTATTTTTTATATCAAAACTAAAGTAAGAATATAATATGAAAACGTTTATAATAAAAATTATCAGAAACATTAATTTCACACAATATTAGTCATTCCTTCAATCTAATTCTCCAAAAAACTTTAATATTATTCAAATTTCAATTTAAATTAATTATGGATGAATTTCGCTTATTAGGCGACCACCAATATTACTAAATCTAGTCTGGAGCATAAACGGACTAAAGATATTACAGTTACTAGACCAACACCCAATATTTGCAGAATAGAACAGTCAATTTTGACCTATTGCACGAGATCGTGATCGTTGGACAATAGGTTACGATATTGCGAATAGTCAGGAAGCCATCAGCATTAGTCATTAGCTTTTCTGACCTTATGACAGTAACGTTAGTGTGATTAGACGTATTATACTATCTTTTTGTACCCTCTATATTATGAGGTTTAGAATTGATTTATATAATAGGCTGATTAGGGATTTTATTGTCACATTATATTATATAACTAGTGACCTAAGAAATAAAAGATCGCCCGAATGAAACAAGGGGCTTCTCATAGGTGATATTAAATTTCTAAGTATTATATATATTAACATAGTATTTAACCTGGTATGCACGGCAATAATGTACTGTTTCAACTAATGAAATAATTTCTCAAATTTCAATAGAGCAGCGGTTCAAGAGTATGTATATATATTTTCTAATAACAAAATCTGATCTGTCTTTAAATCAGTGTAAGTATAAATATGTATATTTTTTTAGAAATAAGTGAATAAATTAATTTAAAGTAAGATTTAACAATGTTTTTCTGGTTTAGAATAGAGCTCGTAAGTGACATTTCATGTCTTCTCATACCTTACAATTTCCTGTTTTCGAAATTTATTTGATTTTTTGCAAACATTTTCATTGTAAATAATTTAGTTATTAGCTAAAAGATTCTAGCTTGCCTAATAACTAAATAATTTTGACCATCTTCTTAGATCTCCACTTTATCTATTTATTTATTAAAACTTTAATGCAAATAATTAAAGGTACACATGACCTCCCAGTCTTGGGCAAACAGAGATTCAGATCTTCAAATCTAAAAAAAATAAAATAATAAGATCTATCTATCATAAATAAATTTATATTAAGTAATATTAATAATAATTCATTCTATTACCTTTCAAATAATTAAGTTTACATTGCAAGTTGATTTTCAAAGGTCAATTCAACCATGATTACAATTTTACCTAATCAGCTAGTTAATACATTTAAAAAATGGTCACGATTTTCAAAGAGATCTGAATTAGCATTTCAGTTAATATCAAGGCTTCAAAATATATGTCTGGATTAAGAAATGATATGACTGCAAACGATCAGAATGTAGACCGAGGTCGTTGTATTCCACTGCAACTGTTTCATTTTCAAATGCTCTTGCAGTCTTTTTAAACCCTTTTTGTTTTTGTCGATTTCAAGATTGTTTCTCACGGAATAATAAAATTTATGCGGGCTTCCGTTTTTATAATGATGTATATTTAATTCTGTTTTTACCTAAAATTTTAAGAATAATTAATAGCATAATTATAAAATAAATTTAAATAAGTCCAAAATGTATTTTGAATTTAGATAATATTTTTCTCCCCCCTATTTATCTAATTTCTTTATATCTTACCTACTCAATATTTGAGATTTTTATTGTTGTATAACCTCATCATCAAAACTTTTGAATAATTTATTTACTTATTTTCTTAATTACTGTGTTATTCTTTATACTCAAAATTTATTTTTATTTTATTAAAATTGGTATTCATAGCCATTGAGAAAATATTCCTAATGTATGTATGTGTTATATGAAAATATCCTACCTTTGAAATGTTTATAATAACATGAAACTAATTCCCAGGACTATTCACACAGCGCCATCTAGTCCCAAATTAAGTAGACTTTGTTTTGTGGATTCTAGACAAATGTCTAGTGAGTTTCATAATATATATAGAAAACTCAGCCACTTTTCACACTTATGAATAAAAATGTTTGCAGCGCGCGAACTAAACCGGCAAACCATCGAGACCATACATAAATATAAGTAATACTTTATATATTCTTATAATTATATTGTTTTATATCAAAGCAATATTTTGATACTGGTATTTATTTTAGGTTTAGTTCCCAGCAGAATCGAATCCGTTCGTGACTGATTTATTATACGTAAATGCCAAATTCAATCGAAATCTCCCATAAATGATGCAAACAAAGCATTTATTAAATATTTCAACGAATATACCGAGGATTGTAATCTCATATAATGGGTAAACTTGGGCTCACATTATAAGGTATAGCTAGTATGACCCGTGGCGACGAGGCCATTCAATTCGCGCATTTCCAAAAACGCCAGCAAATTCATTATAATATAATAGAAATAATATAAGATAATTCACACAGCGTCGTCGTCCCAAGCTAAGCAGAGCTCGTGTTATGGGTACTAGACAATTTATATAAATTGTATTTTTTT